TTCCTACGGCCTAGATCTCTGTCAAGTGTAAGTCCACATACAGTTTAAACTTAGTGAACTTTACATGCTGTGATTATGGACAAAATGGATCCGCTCGTGAACTTTATAAACTGCAATAAACCAATATATCTGAAATAACCCATGGACACCTACCTCTTTAGCATTACTATAACAATTCATTTAACATTGTGTTGCCAGTACTAATTATAATTATCTCATTATGTTTATTTGTTTATTAATTATGTTTATTTCCTATTTTTGTTGCACCAAATCAGATGTTCAATTTATCTTGTGAATCTCAAATTGTATTCCTACTATTTTATAATCTACTTATGCCCTACACCAGTGGTTCTTAACCTTTTTGAGCCGCGACCCAAATTTGAGAAAAATGTTTATGTCGCGACCCAAAAAAAGTCAATATTTTTTCATTGCTTTATTTTAGAGCATATTTGTAAAAACCTTTAATCTTACAATGATGACTTATTTAACTTACAATTTTTTATTTTTTTATAATAATAAAGTTAAACAAAGTACTTTTGATCCAAGAAAAATTTAATAAATATCAAGTGTTTTTAATATTTTTATTGACCAAACTAAATAAATTTAAAACATTTTAAAAAATAATTGAAATTTAATCTTATAATAACATTTTATACGCTTTTAATGAGAACCTTGTGCTTGAATACATTTTGAAAGATCTGCAAACCTGGGTTGAATGCTTGTCAAGGAGCACCTTAAATCTATTTCTGGATTTAACTTGTTCCGGTGGTTGTTTTGATTACACAGAGAGCCGAAAACCCAGCCTCACACATATATGTTGTTGAAAAGGGCAATAATACTTTTAGGGCTTCTTTAACAATTATTGGCTTTTCGGTTTTTAGATTTAACCAGAAAGCACATAAAGATTGAGTGTTTTTGTAAAAAATTGTATCGAAGTGCTTGGTCACTTTGAATTTCTATTAATTGTTCTTGAAATTGATTAATATTAACAAATTCCTCATGCAAATCACTTACGTCAAAATCAAATGGCATTCGAACCCAATTATATTTAAAAAAACATCGTCTGCAGGAAAATACCGATCAAAGTCTGCTATTAGTTTTTCTAAATGATTCATAATAATTTTCTGTATTTCAAAATCTGTGATATTAATATTCTTGTCTTCAACAAGTAAATTAAGAGTCGGAAATGAAGCAAGTTTCTTTACTTCAACCTTATTTCTCCATAATTTGAGTTTATTTTTAAACATGTAATTTTTTCAGTTAATTCAATAATAGTATGATTACATCCTTGCATAGACGTATTTAGATTATTTATTTCAAACAAAATATCTGCCAAATAAGCAATTTGAGTAATCCACTTCAACTCGGAGAATTTAGATGCTAATGGGTGTTTCTTTTCTCTCAAAAAAAATTCGACTTCTGTCCGCAATGATAATACTCTTTGAACAACTTTGCCCCGGGACAGCCATCTAACTTCAAAGTAATATAATAAATGTTCGTATTCTGCACCAAATTCTGAACGCAGTTCGCGGAAAATTCTACAGTTAAGTGCTCTTGATTTTATAAAATTGACTACCGTAACAATTTCATTCAAAACGATACTTAATTCGGGCGATAAATTTTTTGAAGCAAGATTTTGTCTATGTAAAAAACAATGAACCGATAAAATTTGTGAATTCATTTGTTTTGCTCTTCGATTGTTTTCTCTTCAAAAACCCTTTTGAGATGCTGTCATGGCAGCTGCACCGTCGGTGCAAATACTGAAACACTGATTCCAATTTAATCCTTCTTCTTTAAAAAACGAATCGACAATGAGAAATATATCTTCACCTCTAGTTTTTGTTGACATTGATTTGCAAAATAAAACATCCTCCTGTATATCTGTTAACCCTGGATACCGCACGTAAACCATTAGTTGAGCATCGTTACTTACATCTGTCGTTTCATCCAGTTGAATACTAAATAAACCAGCAATTTTATAGCAGAAATAAGTTGATTCTTAATATCAAATGACATATCATTAATTCGTAAACGAATTGTATCATTTGATAATGGTACCTTTTGTAATTTCTTTGAAATTTCATCTCCGCACATGATACGTGCCATGTCCAATGGCAGCAGGTTTTGTAAGTTTTTTCAGCAATATTATGGGGTTTCTTTGTCTTGCAATATGCCAAGCCACATAAAAAGAAGCAAGTGTAGCTTGTTTGGTAGAAATTAGAAAACTATTACTACTTGGTGCATCTAAACGCTGTCTTTTTAAATCGGCTTCTTTTCTTTCGAAAAAAGTACGATCTTTTCCCTCAAAGGAAAAATTTTTATGTTTTGCATCAAAATGTCTTTTAAGTTTGTTTGGTTTCATCGATTCATTACTTAGTATTTCACTGCACAAGACGCATAGCGGCTTGTTGATTCCTCCATCATAAATGCAAGTAAACCCTAATTCTAAAAATGCTTCCTTGTATTCACGTTTTGCCATTTTAGGGTGATTACAATTTTACAATACGCACTGCAGCTTGATCACTCCACTTTTAATAAACAGACAAAAATTGTTTCTAAAATGTTTGTATTCACGTTTCATGATTATTACACATTCCACTGTTATTCACAACATAATACACAGAAACGAGTTTTTGACAAAGAACTTGCAGCGGAGTGCAACTTTTTTACGTAAATATCATTAATATGCAAACAGAAATTAACAGAATACAATTTTCCGTTATTACTTCTTTATTCACACGAGTTAAATCGATAATATCTGCTTACATGTTTACAACCAACGGAAATTCCCCGGTTTCTTAAAAGTCGAAGTAAAAGTAGCTGATTGAAAGCGCTTTTAATTTTTACCAAAAGGTGTCACTACCAGAGAATGACTATGTTACCTGCAACCTTATTGCGTCTGCGCGCACGTAAAGCAATGGCGTGAGTATTACCAACACCTCATAGAAGAAAGCTATAAGACAGAAATTGGATGTCACTTCTAGAAGGCCATTCGCGAAGAGCGGTAACCAATGCATTGTTTTAGAGAATAACTTGTATTAGAAAAAAACTCTTCTAGTAGGTGTTGGTATTACTTATTTTTGTATATTAAAAGTTTTTTTTTAATTTGACTTAGCGCGACCCAAAAAATATGCTTCGCGACCCAATTTTGGGTCGCGACCCATAGGTTAAGAACCGCTGCCCTACACCATTATTTTTAATAAATACTGGATGCGGGGCGTACTGTGGAATTTCACGATGTACCATAATAGGCAAACTTTAGACCTTTTGAAAAGCTTCAGTCTATGCAAATTGTTATAAAACTTGCAATTACCCCCCCTTTTTTTTTCTCTCAAAGAGTTAGTATGGGAAGGCATTACCAGTTGACCTATGGTACATCGCTGGTGTCCCCCATATTTTTACCTTTACCTTACCTTTACCTATAACCAATACTGCGGCAAAATAAAGATTATTGACTAAGCTATTTGTCCAGTGAAAGCTAGATGGGAGTCTGAAAACAGGTAGTTACTCTAAATATGATATGACTAACGCATTCTTTATAACACATGCTGGAAAGTTTACGAAAAGTACCAATGTTGTAAATTAACAATAACGTAGAAATGTTCATGGTTGTAACACGCTTTACGTTAGTACGCCACGTGAAACGTAGTCTACGCTGGAAATGTTTCGGAAAAGTATCAGTGTTTATTTAAAAAAGAAACAATGTTTCAAATGAACTTGATTTCTTAATCCCAATTAAGACAGCCAGGCGAGACATGACCTCGTCTATATAAATAACAAGTGAGTCCGAAGAAGGTTTAAGCAACCTTTTTATTTAAACTTTAAACTCAACCCATGCACGACTTATGTTTACAATTTAAATCACCGCAGCCTGCGAGACTTCTTAATACTTAACAGAATTAAGTATTAACTACACTTAAGAATTAAGTATTATTTAATAGAATGTGAATTTAAAATTATTAGATGTGAACTTAAAATTATTAATTTATTAGATGCTACAGTGCAAACAGTCAAATAAACATTGGCTCAAACTCACTGACTTCGCCTAACAAAATGGCTAACGCCGGATAAATAAGTAGCGGAGTTGGGTGAGTGAATAGTACTACGGTCAGGGTTGCTGTCAAAAGCTCTTAGGTTAAACTTTCAAGGACTCCGTCTAAATACAGTTTCTCATTTATAACCTAGTGAGAGCTAAAAAGAAGCGATAGTTCAGTTCCAAATCATAACAAAAATGGATTAATTAACATAAAAACACTTACATGTTGTATGTTCTAAAAACACGTAGCACATCGTACAGAACGCTCTTAATGCGCGTAACATCGTCATAGAACAAAAGATTGTAGAGACATTAGGGTTTTTTTTTAGAAGCAGGAAAGATGAAAAATTAGGAATGCCTTCGCCGGGAATCGAACCGTGGACCTCTAGAACACGCGCCCAGCGTGCAGGGCACTACACCATGAAGGTTTGCCAAAAAGGTGGGAGAAATTAGATATGCTCTTTGCACGTAACCTTCTGATCCAGTTAGAACGCTTATTAGATTCGAATGCGCTTGAGTTTGTAATTTTAAGGCTATCTCTGCTGATTCTGCAATATTAGCAGTCATTGATTTCCTTACACGAATTATCGTGTTGCAAGTGAATTTCTAGATTCATCCAGACAACGCAAATTTAACCGAAACTTTCGTGAATCTCGATTTAAAAAGTAACATAAAATACAAGTGACAGTCTTGCTTGACTAACATTTAGTTCACGATAAAAATTGACAGCTTAGTTTTATTCTAGGAGGAACAATTATTATATCTTTTTTAAAAGTGATAAACGTTTAGCCGTAGCTAACTGTCTTAGACAAGACTTCTCTGGAATCAGCTACACCGACCAGAATTAAACATTTGCAGGGGGTTCCAGTACAGCGGCTACAAAATTTCAGGAGAGATAAAGTTCACCTAGACGATGGAAAATCACTTATCAGTGCATCGTCGGACATGTTTTCTTGGTGCGGTAATGACGACACAAAACACAAGACACGAACAGGGGGACGCTGCGTTTCGCTTTGCCACATGGTTTCAACAAGATGGAGCGTCTTCACATTACACCCTTGATTTGCGTCTCCACCTGAACACACCGTATCCAACATCTGCTCTACAAGTCATTGCGGGTCTTCCCCCTCTTGATCTTGTAGTCGAGAGGGAAGCCGCAGTGGTAAAAGCTACAAGGCTTAATAAAAATACATCACTGTGGGGACAGAGCATAATCCACACAGACTATGAAAAATACAAATCTCGTTATCTTTGTCACCCAGCACAATTTGACCTAATGGACACCATCCATATAAACTCAGATTCTCCAGAGCAAAATGATCATGCATTATACACTGATGGATCTAAGACAGAGGCTGGCACAGGATGTGGATTCTGCGAATTGGATAAAGGCAGCATTATCTTCTCCTGGAAAGGAAAACTCAACGAAAGTAATTCAGTGTTTCAGGCAGAATTCATAGCCTTACACGCAGCAATCATCCACAGTCGTAGGAATGGTCTTAACCAAGTTCGTATTTATACGGACACCGCCTCAAGCCTCCAAGCATTTTCAAGCATGCACAGCAGAAGCCCTGTATTTAACAAAATACAAAGAACTCTCCTTAGTATCCCTATACCTTTTCGTCCTGTACTCTGTTGGGTGCCAGCGCACGTAGGAATACTAGGAAATGAAAGTGCAGACGTTGTGGCTAAAGAAGCTGCCAATAGTGTATCCTTACTTGAGTGCCCAACAATACTTCCAACTTCGCTGCTCAAGCATTCCCCACGCAAACTTCTTATAAGACAGTGGCAAACCCGCTGGACCGATGCTACAACGGGTCGACATACACATGCAATGCTCCCAAGTGTAAGCATGGATCTGCAGAGCAAAACTGGCAGCATGTCACATTTCCTTAACAGGACATGGACCGTACAAAGCCTATCTGCATAGGTTTGGTCTATCCAACACAGACATCTGCGACTGTGGGAAAGTGGGCAGTCCAGACCACTATTACTTTGAATGCCGCTTGACGGCGAAGTTCCATCTAAAAAAACCAGCACCCATGTTTCGCGCAGTGTGGTGGATTAATATTCAAAATAACAATGTTGCTCTATCGAGACTACATGCTATCACTACCTACTGCGCTGCAAAAACGAAGTAACCAGCTCTCATCACAGTCATTCCCCAAATAGCTAAATTAATGTTTCAGCTCCTGTAATATAAGTTTTTAATTTTTTATACATATTATATATATTTATTTATCTTTTTTTACATATATGTAGTTATTTAACTCTTTTGTTATAAAAATCTTTGTTCCATCGAATCAACTTCTTGACATATACAAATATTTGTACTCATCCGGTGTAATACTACATTGTTCATACAGTTATCTAACTTTCGTAATATAAGTGTTCATTCCAATATAGTAAATATGCCACCTAAAAATACCAATAACAATGTTGCATAATGTCTATATATTTCTGTAGTGTAAAAGTATTTCTTCCACATTGATTGTCATCCTAAACACTGGATAGGGAGGGGTGGTCCAATACATCGGCCAGCAAGATTGCCAGACCTCACTTGCATTGACTGCTTCCTCTGTATACGCATCGTGGCAGCTGTTCGGGAGGTACTGGACATGCCCGGCATTTTCCAGAACATCAGATCTTCCATGCGCCGGCCGGAGATGCAAGGTCTGCATCGCGGTCCCGAGTCGTAATTTCGAACACCTTCTTTGATAATGATCGTGGTTTGTTTCTGTTTCTATTCCTTGATTTCTGCTGTATTAAGCATAGTAAACATATTTTCGCAACCTGTTCGTGTCCTTCTTTTCTTGCGTTTTGTGTTGCTACTACCGCGCTCTGCATCTCCTATTTCGATCATTCACATCTAGGCTTATACTCGGAGTGACGTTCTTCAGACAACAGACGACACACAGCTTCTACGGTTCCAGCAAACCTACTTATAATCCTACGCTTGTCTTAAAAATCCACATAAGCATTTGAAGAAAACGAGCTGAGTGACTACGAAGAAATTATAGTAATAAATGCAAATTAAAAACTCAACTGGCTAGCAAAAATAAGCTAAATTGTCACAGGTTAACCATATTAATTATAAAATGCAATATTATTGCTAAATTATTTGAAACAATTCTTTCTATTCAAATATCGTTTTACTGATTTTAAAAAGATATAAATACAAAACTAAGGTTCTTAATAAATCTATTTGCAACTTTTTAATATTTCTGAACTTTTATATGCTGCTGCTACTGACACAAAGTTTGGCCACTTTCGTTACGAAGGGTTTCAATTTAAAAGATAGATTTCATGTTCAAGAATACATTATTTTATGAATATTTTGCTTGCAACGAGTCGTCGATTTCTATGTTGTTTTTAAAGTAACTACAGTGAACTTCGAGATATGAGCAGCTCTATATACGAGATATTCGAGTTACGAGGAAAGTATGAGCGAAACATTTGTCTCTAAATACAAGCATTGAATCGAGTAACGAGCAATGAGCCAGGCTGTTGGTATGTGTGGCGCGATTTTCCGATCCGTCTCGACTCGGGGAATCCCCTCGTCAGATCACTCGGTATTCTTAGATCTACGTGCTTGTGCGCTTGTGAATTAATTGTTTATTACATTTAACGTGAAAATAATTATTTCACGACGCCTCCCAAGAAGATTGTTGCCTCAGATAGTGCTGCAAAGAAGGAAGCCATGGCTGTTGAAATAAGTTAAAAAAGAAGTCATAGATAAACATAAGCGGGGTGTAAGAGTGACGGAATTGGCGAAGATATGGTCGTTCGACATCGACGATCTGCACTATTCTGAAGAAGAAGGAACGAATTAAGAAACTTAATGTAGCCAAAGAAGTTACCGCTACTTCCAAGCACCGTCCAAAACTCCTAGAAGCTGTTGTTGGTGTAGATTAACGAGAAGCAGTTAAAAGGTTGGTATCAGAAGCTATCATAAAGGTAAAGTGTTATTTATTAAAATAAATTGGTGAGTATGCTTCCAATTATAACACGCAGGCATGCGGAAAGGAGGGAGAAAATACCTTAGTGTTCATGTAGTTACAATTGCACATTATGTTCTAATTAGTAAAAACAGAAATTTATATGTTTTTACTTCCAAATTCCTAGAAATATTCAGAAAAATATATACTGGCATAAATTATTTTTATCTGCTTCTATCGATATAATTCAAAACATTAGAAAATGAATTCGGGGAATAGCTGCAAAATCACAATTGCTAGTTTTTGCTAATTAATCGCATCTTGTTGAATAAAAGTATATATTTAATTAAATTTGTAGCTGGTCTTTTGAAGACTTATCTCACCCGTCTATGCCGGTAAATGTGAGAGGGATTTTTTTTGTTAATGCATTAAAATCTAAGAAATATTTTCCCTATAGCAAGATCCTATTCCTTTAAGAATTCCCGATTTCTTTAACAATGGTAGGAAATGGCCCATTTCACCGGCTGCTTAACTATCTCATCACCGAGAATGTTGAAAAGGATGCGGCATGGGGGGGGGCGAGAAAACACACAAGCTAAGTCTTAGACGAAAGTCTAGTTCATTCGAAGTAACACTCAGACACCGCTAACCAATATGCCGTCTACAATAACTGGTAAGAAATATTTTCCTTTCAAAATATTTACTGTTCCGGAAATTTTTAGAAGTTGTAGAGACATTAGGATTTTTTAGAAGCAGGCAAGATGAAAAATATGCAACGCTTTCGCCGGGAATCGAACCACAGAAATCTGGAATACGCGCCCTGGGTGCAGACCATCACCCCACGAAGGCATGCCAAGAAGGCGGGAGAAATACCTTATAAAGTTAATATTTCCTTTTATAGGATTCCCCGCACCACAATTAGTGATACTGTTTTCATAAAACTGTACGCCTTTGCAACTGAAAGTGTATATGTAGGATTTGCATTTAAGGACATTAGGTATTTCTCCAGCCTTCTTAGCATGCCTTCGTAGTGTAGTGGTCAGCACGCTGGGAGAGTATTCCAGAGGTCCGTGGTTCGATTCCTGGCGAGGGCTTTGCTCATTTTTCCCATCTCCTGCTTTCAAAAAATTTTCTCCTACTTTTCAAACTGCACTTTTTTCCTCTTAATATTTTTTATTAGCTATTTTAGTTACTTTAACTATTAGTTACTTTAACTATTAGACAGCCCAAACGGGAAAGTGGTTGGTGACGCTGACTGCCATCCTAAAGGGCCCGGGTTCGAATCTCGAGGAAGACTTGGATGTAAATTGCCTGTCGCTTCAAAGGAGGCAACGTTGGCCCACCTGTTAGGTGCCTCCATAATAAAGTGACCACCAATTCCGGCCTTAGAGTGGCCAACGCCTATGATGACTAGTGCCACGCCATTAGAAAAACAATAAGTATTACTTCTACTTCAACATAATTAGGGCAGTAAATTATTTCATATTTCGGTTTCTTTTAGTAACAGAATTTGAGATGAAAATCATCAACACTTGACGAAATGGATTGCAAAAGTAACTCAACAAAAATTCTTTCCACAAAACTCTATTTCTAAATTGCCCGCTATTTCAAATAATACTAATTCTTTTGGTTTCATCCTCCCTCTATATTTACTAAATTATTAAATTAACAATATTTACTAAATTATTCAAAGAAAAGGCATTTATATAGCGAGAATATGCTAAACAAGTTTGTTTTTGAAAATAATATTAAACTCTACTGTTGCATCCTAACAAACTATTGAACGCTTTAAATATCGAAGCAGATAGTTGCGTTTTAAAACATTATTAACTCTGAAATATATGTTGCGATATGAGTACTTAGAGGCAAACAATCATTCCGAAATTTATCAAAGGAAACGCATTGAATTCTAATCTAGAACTGCTCCTCTTAAGGACTCTTTTTTAATATACTTTACATAATGCTGACATTGAGATCCAAGATAACTGAAATTGCAGCCAGGGAAAAGGCATAATAACAGTAGTCCCGCATGTTAAGCGGCCAATTGTTCTTCGAACCCCGCATTATTCAAAAATCGTGTAAGTTCGTGACCCGTGTATAAAATTAGTCACGTATTTTTGCGTATAACCTAATTCTTTTCGCTCTTATATTTTAAATCATGACTGGGTTATTGTATCTTTATAGAGTAATAAATACAATTACGTAAAGAATTGTATTTATTACTCTATAAAGATACAATAACCCAGTCATGATTTAAAATATAAGATTTACAATTAAAATATAAGTAATAATTAAAATATAAGAAATTAAATAATTAAAATATAAGAAGCTACAGAAGTTTTTAGATTCACCTCACAGGCAAAATTGACAAATCGCTTTGGCTCAGCATATTCATCTTTCACGGAAGGGACAACCATTGTTAGACGTTATGGTATTATCTAAAATTTCAAAAACGTTTCTTTCTTCTACTTTTGTTAAGTGCTCTAGTAGCGATATACTGTCGACAATGAGATTCTAAGAAATGTAAAATGCATAATGAATTTCTATGAGACTTTTTCAAATTTTCGATATTTTTTACCGGCCACGTAATATATATTATTCCCATTTACCTAACATTGAGTGCTTTCGTAAAGCATCTGTACAATAATCTGAAATCAAACGATAAATGCAAATAACCATGAGAAAATATGCATACTGTTGTGTACGTATGGGTTTGTAATAGAATGAAAGCACACAGAACCGATGATAACTTTATAAGGTATTTCTCCCGCCTTCTTAGCGTGCCTTCGTGTTGCGGTAATCTGCACGCTGGGCGCAGAGGTCCGTGGTTCGATTCCCGGCGAAGGCGTTGCTGATTTTTCACTTCTCCTGCTTCCAAAAAATACCTAATGTCTTTACAACTTCATAACATTTATTTCACGAAACGAAATAAATTGCAGTTCTAGAACTTCCCACAAAAATACTCGTACAACTTTTCGCAGTATCACAAAGC